GCAAGTTCTGAAAACACGAAGTTGACCAATCGATTTATGTAATGAGATGTATAGTCGTGTTTTGTGTTCTTAATTTGATTTTACTTGAGGACAAGCAAAAGTTCAAGTTTGGGGGTGTGTTAAGTGTATATTTATACACTTAATTGTACCTTTTAATTTGAGCTTTTGGTTTGTTTTAATGATAATTGGTGCTTAAAATGGCTATTATTTGTATTTTAGGTGCAAATTGAAGAATTGGCAACTTATGGGGTGAAAACTGCAAATTCGGAGAAAAAGTGGGCCAAAAGTGAAAAAATCAGAATTCTGAAGAATTGAAGACCGGACGGCCGTCCGGATTTTAAAGCTTATTATCGCACGGCCGTCCGGAAGAACGTATTGGCGCAGTGAAGGAATTTTAATTACACAAGGAAACCCGCCCTATTATATTTTTGCACCCTATTTAAAGGCCACAAGCACACAATTAGAGATATCTTTTAACCTTTTACCTTTTATCTTTATTTTTAGTTTTTATATTTTTCATCTTTCTACACGCAATCAAGGAGCTCAAGAACGAAGACGAAGAATTGACGACTCTTCATCATAGTTCTCCTCTTTTATTAGTTTTTATGATTTTTCGTATTTTTATGATGTTTTTCGTAACGAACATGAGTAGCTAAGTTTTTATTCTAGGATTTTGTTGGAACCCTATGTGGTAATTCGAACCTATTTTTCTACTTTTATGCAAGTTTAATTCTTCGATTATTTCTTCTATCTTGATCTTATTTAGCGCATGAACGTAGCTAATTTATGTTGCTATTTGTTATTGTTAGAATTGATTGACAGATCGTTTTAATAATTAGAATAGGGATAGAAGAGCCTTCGAGTAGTTTTTCACCGAATGCGTGTGTTGATTGCATGTATTATCGTAGACATACAGATAATACCTTAGGTAGCCGTTTACGAGACTTGTTATTTAATGCTTTATTTGTACTAGGTTTGCATAGACATATAGTGAATCTTTTATGAATAATAGGCTTATAACGCAGCGACAGTTACATCAAACAAAATACAATTTATACAAACAATTTTTTTCCTCGTTTCAATACCAAGAATAAAAAAAGAAAAATAAATCATCTCTTCTTCTTCCCCAAACTCAAACTCATTAAACCCTCTCTTCTTCTTCATCTTCTTATAAATCCTACAAAAAATCTCCAAACTCAAAAAAAAATCAAAACCTCACAAAACTTATAAAATGGAGTCACAAGACAATAAAATGGTAGTATATATGGAAGGAGAACCCATTAGGATATGTATCAATGTCTTTTTTTAGCTTCCAAGTCGATTTTGAAGTTTTTTTTTTTTTAAACCCGTCGACAATTTTCGACACATACATGTCGAAATTTCTCAAAATTTCGACACATACATGTCGAAATTTCGAGAATTTTCGACATGTATGTATCGGAAAATCACTGCTGCAATTTTTTTTTTGTAAATCAACAATGTTTTTTCGACACATACATGTCGAAATTTGGAGAAATTTTGACGGGTATGTGTCGAAATTAGTTTTTTTTTCTTTAATATATTTTTTGACACGTTGGTGTCGAAAATTGACAAAAAATTCGACCTATATGTGTCGAAAATTGTCGGCGAGTTTAAAAAAAAAAAATATTCAAAATCGACTTCGAAGCTCACATTAATGCGTTCTCCTTGGTCGTAAACTCTCATTTGGTTGTCATTTGACTCTATTTTGCAAGTTGTGTGAGGTTTTAATTTCTTTAGTTTTGATCAACACATTTAGGTCGACATGCTTTGAACCCTCTATCGCAAAGAACCCAGCTTCACAGGTACATTGGACGCCGCCGCTGGAAGGAGTTGTGAAAGTTAACTTCGACGCCGCCTTTCCACCATCTCATTCGCATTATACGGTGGCCACGGTGGACCGAAATTCCGAGGGCAGTACAATTTGGTGGAGCATCACCTCTTTGCCCGGGCGTGTTCAACCAGCTGAAGGAGAAGCCCATGCCGTTCTTACAGCAATTAAGGGTGCTCGTGCAAGGGGCTGGCCGTCAGTTATTATGGAAGGGGACTGTCGTCAACTCATCATGGCACTCCAAGATAAACACTCTTTTATGTGTTCATTTGGTGCTTATTTAGAAGACATTAGTAATCTTGCTTTATCTTTCATATCTAGTCGTTTTTCTTTCATTCCTCGTTCCTGTAATAAGCTAGCTCATGGAACTGCATCATCCATGGAACTGGCCACTATTGAGGGTCTCTCCCTTCCTTCTCATTTGGCTAAGTTAGCCTAATAATATCTCAGTTTGTTTTTCAAAAAAAAAAATTCTTTAGTTTTATGATTTTTTATGAGGGTTTGTTGTGAGGAAGAAGAAGGAGGAGGTTGAGGGATTTGTGAAGAAGAGGATGGGTTTGAGGGGTTTTATGTGTTTGGTATTGAAGAAAGAAAAATGAGATTTTTAATATTTTTATAGTATTGATTTTCATTAGGAGTATTTATGTCATTACCTATTTATTATCCAATTTTTATTTTGTTAGTATTGAAGTGAGGAAAATTTAGTATTAGTTTTAGTCACGCCCATTAAGTAATTAATTAAACAAAAAAGCGTTGGTGAAACCAAACTACTATTTAACAAAAAACTATTTGGTGTTGGTATTGAAATTAATATTAGTATTAGTATTCGTATTAGTATTAGTATTAATATTGGCATTGGTATTGATATTGGTATTGGTCTTAATATTAGTATTAATATTAGTATTCGTATTAGTATTGGGATAGGTGTTGGTGTTGGTGTTGGTGTTGGTGTTGGTGTTGGTGTTGGTGTTGGTGTTGATATTGGTATTGATATTGGTATTGGTATTAGTATTGGTGTTCGTAGTAGTATTGGTGTTAGTATATTTTTTTGTAATTATATTGGTATTAATATTGCTATTAGTATTAGTATTGATTTTTGTATTAATATTAATATTAGTATTAGCATTAGTATTAATATTAATATTTGTTTTAGGGGTGGCATGGACTATTATACGTCGCAATATAGATAGTTAAGAGTATAGGTGGCATTGACTATTATACGTCACAATATGGGGAGTTAAGAGTAGAGGTGGTATAAAGATATTCATCAAGGTGGAATAGACGACTAAACTTGTAATATTGTCTACTAAGAATTTTTTCAGGGAACATAAATTTACATCATAAAAACTGTATATTGTGATTCAAATACACATTTGTTGTTTGTACTTTTTATATGTATAATTATTTTATCGTGTTAGTTTATTTGCACTTTATGCTAATTTTATTGTCAACTCTAGTGAATTTTTTTTTTTTTAAATCAAGGTGATTTAGTACAAATCATATTTATTTTTTACACTTTTAGATGATTACTTTTCAGTAATGTGTATCACTGATTGCATTTAAACAATGAAAAATGTGCATGCTATTCGCAAAGAGAGTTATAGGCGATGTCTATGCATGTGGTGTAAAACACTACTTTGATAATTAAGTTTCTGTTAAGGATCCGGGCGTATTGGACGAGATAGTTGTACCATTTGTGTATACTATTTTTTATATCACAATTTTCGTATTTTATTTTTTCTTTTGTCATTTTTTTATATCGTCTTCAAATCAAATGGAATTGCAATTGTTTTTAAATTTTTTATATTATATCGTATTATATATCAACTACTCAAAGTTTTCATTCGATTATTTTATCAAAAATGTATTTCATTTCTTCTATTACCCTTATGTTGCATTAATATCCTCTTTTCATTTATGAAGGTGTTTGATTTACCTCATCGAAGTGTTTTAGTCATTAAAAAAGTGTACCTAAAATTGATCTCCGTGCATTGCACGGGTGAATTACTAGTTATTGTAATACTGTAATATTAATATGTTGACCGATCAACAAATGTAAACATAATAAAAAGTCAAAATAATTAATATTGATGTGGTTGACACTAATACTACTGTAACAACAGTAATATTACCGTCGACCACAATAATTGTGTTTACAGTAACATTAACATAATAGACAATTATATTATTACGTTACTTCGTCAATAAATCAAACAAAACAAAAAACCCAAAAAAATAATAATATTGATGTGCTTGACAGTAATATTATTGTGTTTACACTTATTTTTTTCTCAACGACAGTAGTATAATTACGTCAACTTGTCAACAATCAAACAAAAAACATTTATAAAAAAAAATAATAATAATAATAATAATATTAATAATAATGATAATATTAATAATAATAATAATATTAATAATAATAATAATAATAATAATAATAATAATAATAATAATAATAATAATAATAATAATAATAATAATAATAATAATAATAATAATAATAATAATAATAATAATAATAATAATAAATATTTTTATATGGGTATTGCATATTTCCTCTTAATGTAGTGATAGTATACATTATTTTATTTATAGAGTTAACATTGATCGTTTGATTTATGGACACAATACACGTATTTTTTTTTAAATGTATTTATTGAAAAAGTGGGATTCGAACTCAGGATCTTTGATTTGGTCTGACTCAGATACCATGTTGAATGACCATCTCAACTAAAAGCTTAAGCTCTTAATAAAATGTATCATTTAATATTAATATTTCCAATAAAACTAGACTGCAAAATAAAAGCATCGTCGCATGATTTGTTATATATAAAGGCATATATAAAGGCCGATCAATCCCATCAAACGGCTTAATCATCTCTAGAACCTGTACGCAAAGGAGTTGACTCAGTTCCTTGAATAGCAAATATTATATAACAAACAATAATGCAATATTATTACAACCTGTACGCAAGACAAGTTAAGAAATGGTCAACTTGGATTAATAACTATTATTTCATATAGTTGACTATTTTCTCACATCTTTTCAGAGCAAAAAATAACTTCACAAACAAATATGCCTATGAACAAGACTTGTTCAAAACTGACAATATTTGTGTGAGATCTGAGAAAGAGAGCATTCAAAGAGATGGCTTTTGGTGCTGTTGGTTGTCTTCAGCTGACAATTGAGCGCCTTTTAAATTCTTCTCATATTTCCATTGTTCAAAATTCATCCCCGCAAATCATTAACCTTCTGTACGAACACATTCTTTCCTTACGAGAAGCTCTCAGAGAATTCGATGCAAGGAGGAGCACCATCAACATGAAGACGGTGAAGAGTTTGGAGGCGGAAATGATAGACGTTGTATACCGATTTGAAAATGTGCTTGAACCCCATCTCTCGAATCAGTTGCATTCACAATCTGAAGAAGAAAAAGAGACCGATCATCCTCCTTTACTGTCATTCTCAGTAGACGTGGAGGAAATAAAGCAAGATGTCGATTCATTTATCGAAACGGTGAACAAAATGAAGAGTGCCTACATTCACGAGCTATGCAACCCTTCACCCGAAGAAGATGACGTTGTCCCGTCAAGAATTGATTTTGATGGAAATGATCACTCTAACATGGTCGGATTATCGGATCTATTTATGAAAATCAAAGATCGGCTTAATTCCTCACAACCTGAAGCGATGATTGTGACTCTCTTTGGGATGGCAGGCATTGGTAAGACTATTATTGCCAAGAAACTCTTTCAAGATCCATTCATTGTGAGTCATTACAGCAAGCGTGTGTTTCTCACCATAGGCCCAAAATATCGATTATATGATATCCTGGTAGATATTATAAGGCAATTGAATTCTGGCATTGATCTAATAATGCCTACGGAAACAGAATCATCATTAGCAAGATTCAAAAGTATTGTGTTCAAAAGTTTACAAAATTCAAGATACTTGATGGTGTTAGACGATGTATGGGACACGAGGTTGTTTTACAAGTTATATCCAGAGTACAAAAATGGAAGTCGAGTATTGGTGACTACTAGGCTAAGAGAAGTAGCTGAATCTGCTAACCATGCTATCGAAATACCGTTCCTTAATAAGAAAGAGAGTTGGGAGCTTCTCCGTGAAAAGGTGTTTGGTAGAGAATCGTGCTCTTATGGATTCGTGAAAGCTGGAAAAAAGATTGCTGAGAATTGTGAAGGTCTTCCACTTACAATAGTTACAGTTGCCAACATCCTTATTGAAGCTGAGAAGACTTTGGAATACTGGAACAAGGTAGCTGCTGAGAAACAAAATTCAGTTTACAAGGATGCATATGATCAAATGTCAAACGTACTATATCCAAGCTATGACTATTTACCTCAACATTCAAAAGCGTGTTTTCTGTATATGGGAGCTTTCACACAAAATTATGAGGTAACTCCATACCAACTGATCAACCTGTGGAGTGCTGAAGGATTTCTTAACTCCAAGCCAGTGCCTTACTTAGAGTCAGGCATGACTTCCCCATATAATACTTGTTTCCATGAGCTTTCTTTAAAAAATGTTATCATGTTCAACCCAGTCAAACACACATTTTACCTTCATTCGTCCTTTTGGTACCTGTGTAACAAAGAAGCTGTCAAGACCAAGTTGTTCTATGCCTTAAATTGTCTTGCCGATGCTTTACCGGAAGAAGGTCTAAACTACCATCGTCGTTTGTGCATACGAAATAATGTTCTGCTTGCCATCGAAGATGTGCGCAACTCGATTGCATCTGCTTCAGCGGTACGTTCTCTCCTCTTAACTGGTGATTTTCATCAATATCCAGTACCATTGTGTTTGGAACAATTAAGGTTGCTCAGGGTATTGCACGCTTATAGAGTCAGATTGTATGAGTTCCCGATGGAAGTGGTGAAACTAGTTCAGCTAAGATACCTCGACCTCACTTATGATGGACACCTCCCTACTTCCATATCCAAACTCTGGAATCTTCAATGCTTGATAATTTATCAATATCAAACCATCATGAATTCATCGTATTTGCCTATTGAGATATGGAATATGAAAGATTTGAATTATCTTCACACCTGCGGAAGAGACCTACCACATCCTCCTAATTGTGAAGGGTCTCTCCTACCAAAGCTCTTAATATTAGGTGGTGTCGGTCCTCAAAGTTATACCAAAGATGTGTTTGAAAGAATTCCTAATCTGAAGAAATTAGAGATACAAATTGCACTGGGTCCTGATGGTACTGAGCCCCTGAGCTGCTTGGATCACATTTCCCATCTCTCTCAACTTGTAGATCTAGTATGTGTCATTCTGAATCCTGTACTGAAGACGGGGGTTGTTACCCCACTTGCTCCTCTTTTGTGCTTCCCATCAAGTCTTACAACATTAACTTTGAGCGGCTTAGGATATCCGTGGGAAGAAATGAGCAAGATTTCTTCATTGCCAAATCTTACATATCTCAAATTGCAATGGTATGCCTTTCGAGGCCCAAAGTAGGAGGTTCGTGACAACGAATTTCAAAAGCTTGAAGATCTTCATATTGAAGACACTGATCTGGTGCACTGGAAGTTTGTGACAACGAATTTCTGCCTCCCTGTGATTACGACTCTTAGCTTCGAGCATTGCTACAAGTTAAAAGATATCCCTCTTACATTTCCAAGGTCTCTTATATGCATTAAAGTACTTAACTGCAACCCTACGGCTTTGAATTGTGGAAGAACGTTAAAGAAGGAGTGGGACGACAAATATGGTGATGGTACATCATGATGTTTGTTGTTCAGTGTAATGATGGGAACACCAAACCACGACTCAACCATAATATTGATTCTTCAAAAGGTTAGTCGTTCAGTGTTTACTTTTATCAAAATATGTATATATTAGCCAACACGCATTCAGGTAAATTCTCACTTTCTTGTCATGTTTCTTTGATGTTGATCTAATATATTTTAGTTAATAGACAGTTTTTTTTTAATCGATTGAGTTTTTTTTGTTAGTCGATTGAGTTTTTCTATTAGTCGACTGAGGTTTTTTAGTTAGTGGACTAATATTTCCTGTGATGGGTTTCAGAGATGCACCCTCAAAATTGAACTTTTTTCTCTGCCAGAAAGAGGTATAAATTTACATTCTTACAATAACGAAAGTATCAGAACATATATAAGCACCAGTAATCAGGGACGACGAACCCTTTCCAAGAAACTTACAATGCGATACAGGCCATATAGCTAACTATTTAATCGCGGATGATTCATAGCAGAACGAAACAATAAGTCATATTTTCAATCAAAAAAAAAAATTTTGCAAGTTTCAATGATTTTGAGCAAGCATTCGGTTGAGTTTCCCGATCTAATCAGTACCTGAAGTTAGCTGGAAAAATATCTGCTGTAAAGTACTCCTCTGACAGTTTTCGTGGAGCAAAATCTCACCTCACAACACATCGCACATTAAAAAGTATGTCAAAATCGAGAATGGTATAAGCATATGCACTCTAAAGCCCTTTACACGATATATATATCCGACTTCAAAGTTCAAACTAAACTAAGAAATGAAAAATTGGTGTTGACTAATAATATATGAAGGCATCAATCTTACGAAATGTGGGAAACTGGTGAAAATTTTGGGGGGGGGGGGGGGGGGTACTACCCATTAATTGTAATCGTTGTCTGAAAATCAATGCTTACGAGTGAGGCATATGATTTCACCAACGGCTTAATAATCTCCCACACTGGTCTGTATATAAACGGCGCATCCACGAAAAGGACTTGACTCAATATAATGCGTCAAACTGCACATGGAAAACGTTAATTTTAGAAGGAAAAAGAAAACGATTTTTTTTCTTTTTTTCGAGTAAAATTACAAGTCGCGTATAGCGTTGGTTAAATTGTTCATGGAAAGAAAACAACTGCATATATTTATCATTTCCCATAAGCCTCTCTGGTCCACTAAGAAACAGTTACCACAAACTATAAGAACTTAATATCGGCATTTTGCGTGTATGAAATCCTCGAAGATCAATTACCGAAAGTATTTCCTGCTTTCCAGTGGCTTCTCAATGATACACACACAGAGCTTCTCGTCTTCATATTGTTCTAACTCCTGTGTTTATAATTTATCAATGAGCAAATTTGTGTTCCAAACAAAGCTTACAGCCAATGCAAAAAAATTAAAAAGAAAGAAGTAGCCATAATTTTCATCAAAATAGTCGATGATTGATAAGCTTGTTCGACTAATATTTTGATTAACTATAATGAATTTCATGATGTTATGCTGACTGATAAATAGATACTATAAGGAATTTCATGATGGCCATCAAACTATAAGCTTTTAATCGATTCTTCTGACAATTCAGATACACCAAATTCATCACGCCATCTCCGTTCAGACCAAAAAAATTATAAAAAAAAATTAAGAAACTAAAATTTTACGAGTACATAATACATAGTTTCTATGAAGACCTACATATCATCATCTAATTTTTATTTCTTCCTGATGTTATTTTTCAAATGGTAAGATTATTAATGGTAATAAGGAACATAACTTGATTTTTTTCTTCTCCTTCTCCACCCCATAAAAAGAAAAATCAAGCAACAGAAAGATTCGAGTTGCAGAGTGATAAGAGGTCGTAAAGTTATAATTACAATGGCTTTACTCAAGTTCGAGACGGCATCTTTGACAGAATATTTTCGATCCTTCAGATACGAAAGGATCATCTCTTCCGTATTTGCGCAATGGGAGCCTACTATGTTATTTGCCGAGCTTCTCTTTGACTTCTGCTACTAACTGCAACAAGAAAACATCCGATCATCTACACTATCTCGTTAAATCAATTAATCAATTCAACCAATTATCTCATCCAAGAAAGACTATTAGCAAAGCAACTATCTCTTCTCCATTCTTGGCGGGTTTTCTTTGATTGAATTGATATGATATATTGTCCTGAAAAGTTGGACTGGAGGAGGCCGGAGTGTCAGCCACTGCGGCATTTCGTCGAACAGTTTGCAGTCTTGCTTTCAAGGGTTGAATTTAACTCTTCTGCATGAACTGTGACAAGTCACCACCCAAATACCAGTTTATCAAGATTTACTTGTGTCAGTTGTGTTGTGTGTGTGTCTGTGTGTTTGTGAGAGAGAGAGAGAGTGTGGGTACCGTTGGATAAATGGCTTAGGCAAATATTTTTTAATTCATTCAAACTTATTTGCAAATAAGGAAAACCTTTTTATATATACCACAATTGTTTTCAATTCAACTCCAATTTTATGATTTACACCCGAATTTAGTTCAATTTCACCAATTAATCAATTTTCACTTAATTTCAATTTTGACCCCAAGTTTGATCCGCCACCACCAGAGACTGCCGGTCCGCCGGCATTGACTTTTTTTTTTCTTTTTTTCTGAAAACTTTTTTTTTTTTCTGAAAGTTTTTTTGGTAGGTCAACCACCGTTGACCGCTAGGTCTCTGGTGCTCACTTTTTTTTTTTTTTTTTCATAAAAGAATATTTTAATTAATATTACTGTCTTGGCTACTAAATTACTGTCTCCAACAGTAATTTAACTGTAGGACACAATAATTTAACTCTCAGTTGACTTTTTTTTTTCTTACAAAAGTATTTTAATTAATATTACTGTCTTGGCTGCTAAGTTACTGTCTCCACCAGTTATATAGGTAGGTTATTGCTTGCAATTCAATAATGCAAGTTTTGCTGAGTGTTTTTCTTCAGTTTGCTGTTTGCATTTGGCGAATTCATAGGTAACTTTTTTGTTTGTAATTCAATATTACAAATTATGGATTTTGTTTTTTCAGTTTGCTGTTTGCATTTGGCGAAATCATAGGTACTTTGTTGTTTGCAATTCAATAATATAAAATCTAATTTTCAGTTTGCTATTTGCAGTTCGCGGAGTCATAGATGTCGCAGTTCCAGGATCATAGGCGGTGGTGGGGCTGCGGTAGCATTTTTAGAGTATGGTGGTTAATGGGGACGGACTGTAAACTCGTTGGCAATATGTCTACGCTGGTTCAAATCCAGCTCGGCCCAATAATTAGCCAATCTATCATGAGATGGTATAACCCCCCATTGTTCTTCAGAAATACCCCATACGAAGATAAAAAAGAATCAAATTTTCTGCGAGATTCCTTATTGCCCTGAGATTGCAGTTCAATTGGTCAGAGCACCGCCCTGTCAAGGCGGAAGCTGCGGGTTCGAGCCCCGCCAGTCCCGACGGATCCAATATCCAATAAATACATCAATTCATTTTTTCCTTTTCTATGAACTAGTCTAGTAGGGGTGTCGGGGGCATAAAATAAATTGTATATTATTATTATGAATTAATTTATTTGTTTTAGTTAATATTTGAAAGAGATGTTTAAGAATTTTTTTTGACAGACAGATTTTTTGGGATTTGATTTGATTTAATTAAGGGTATTTTTTCCATAATAAATATTATTAATTTATTAAAATATTAAATTTTGACTTGGATTTACACACATAAATTATAATATAGAGGGACCTAGCAAATTGCCCCTTAATTATAAGGGTCTATTAGATATAACCCCCTTAGTCTTACAAATAATAGGGGTAGACCCAAACTTAAATTTGCCATTTTGATAAAAATCCATATTTTTCTAAATTACATCAGTACCCTCAATCAAATCCCACAAATCCCGTTACTTTACCTTTTGAAATAATATCAAATCCCTCCCTATTTTCCCGTTAAAACACTATCCCCACAAAACCCACTACCAAAATCTGCAAACCTCCCAAAACCAGAAATTTATACGGCGTGGATCGAAGATTTTCTGCACTCCGACCAAGCCGCCATAGGTACTTCGTCGCCGCTCGCTGAATCGCTATCACCAATCGGTATGTTGATATGTTTTGGCTAAATCGACTATCACGTTTGTATAATTGCAGATCTTTTATAATCGCATACCGAATTCGAGCCCTAAATCAGTGATATTGCAACAATTGATGGGCAGGACATCCACAAGAAGAGGTAACCCATTACTATATTTTTCTTTAACTGCAACGTGATAGTCTTTTTGAGTGTTTTTTTTGGATATTCTGTATATATATTCGCTTATCTAACACACTCAGTAATATGTTGCAGGCGTCGAAGCATCAAAAATGACAGACGACATTATGCTACTAAACGCGGGTAAGAAAGTGATTTCCCCTAATTCTACATATCAGAAAGTTGTATAATCGATTAAAACATCAATAATCGATTCTGTGTTTTAGTTAGCGTGATGATTGACCGTAGTATAATTAATCTCATGGATATATTCATGTTATACATTGTGATTAAATCGAATGTATATGATAGTTGGTTGATGAAGTCCGATAGTATATTAAGACATTAATAGTCGATTATGTGTTTTAGATAGCATGATGTTTTCAGTATTAACTTATTCACAATACTTATTTTTGAATTTTATTAAGTTATAAGCACATAGTACATTACATACATGCCAATAGTATATTATGTTGATGATAATAGTACTCAAATATATGTAGAGTGAATTGTACATCCTATATCACCGAATTGTGTGCACCACTTACAACACTCCAAAAACAAACATGTGTTGAATACATATTACTTCAATCCATGAAATAATCTCCCAAAGATTATCATATGACATTAGTACACATAAAAAATTCATATACCAAATCGAACGTATTATTGAACACCAACTGCTATGATAGTATATTAATGATTTCATTATAGTATATTTAATATGTTAAGATAGTACATTACGGTTCTTGTAGTAGTATGCAGATGTCTTAAAGACAATATATCAATATAATAGTACAAACCCATACATCAAGATAAAATGTTAATAATGTTTAGAACAAAACCAACGTACAGTAATTCCAACATGATGAAATTAATACTTAAATCACATCATAACACTTTAATTATACTAATTAAATACACTCTAGTACATTACTAATCACGTCATAGTAACTTAAACTGGCAATAGTAATATCATACATTATTCGTAATAGTACACTAAATTTATTACAACGTTTAACATTCAACAAATTTTACATTGCCATTACTAAGTAATCACGGCGTTAATCAAGCATATCAATTCTTAAGGGGGTTTGGAAAATAACAACCATCGGAATCAATTGAATTCATTGAGTTTATGTCCTCGTCGCTATCATCTGGTATGTAATCCACTTCTTCATCGGAAAACTGCGCAACGCCTGAATTCACTGCCCCACTTCCACTAGGATCAACGACTCCACCTCATTCACCCCCAACACCTCCACCAGCGTCACCTGCAACAACACCTTCGTTATCATTACGAACTCGGGGCGACCCGTTATTCTCGACATACAAACAAAACCAACACATGTTGCAGCCTATTAGATCATAAATTATCATCGTGTGCCTCGAACTACGACAATTGTCAGTGTTCGCCACACCACCATCAGCCCCGTCAAGAATTGCCCATGCCTCCTCGTACATTGGAATTGCAATATCTCCGTAATCACGCCTCCAGTCTGCTTCTGCGAAAACCCTCTCAGTTTGTTTCCACAACCTTCGGTCCATATTGTGTAAAACTTATTTTATTGAGAAAAGTATGTTATAGATATAAAAGTATCGTTCCATCGATATGCTTATATAGTCGAAAAAAATAATCGTGAAACCCTATAATCAATATGATGCGTCTTCCGGGATTACAAACGCATCGCTACGTACACATGCCTTTTCAACTTATGCGGTTTAAATACAGACGACTCATCAGAACGTACGCCTCTTCAGTTATATCCACAAAAAAACCATACAAATAATCGACTATGTAATATACACTAGATTGCTATCGAGATGTCATTCTACAATTATATACTATTATACTACTGTGTATAACTAATTATACTGTGCATCGTATTTCAGCAATTTTGTGAAATTATAGAACCACGTGTTAATAGACCCTATCTTTGAATGTTAAATTGATTAACGATGAAAATCTTGTAAAAAACTGACCACACGATAGAAAAAAGTCTACAACACAAATTAAATCGAAATATACTACTGCATAGATTTGATTCGACTATTGGTATCATTTTAAATAACTATAAGCATTCTAATAAAATACTAAGCTTGATAATATAAAACAACAACCATTAAAAACTCAATGTTAAACATTCTGTTCGAAAAATCCCATAAAACCAGAAATATTGTACGAAAACAAAAAATAAAATCATTTTAAGCATAAGACATCAACCTTAAAAAACTACTGGAAAAACATAAATTATAAAATTCACTTCCTACAAGTCTTCTTGTTATGATTTCCTTGATCTTTGCAACGACTGCAAGTCATTTTCCGGGGGACACACTCACCCTGCGATGGAATCCTTTTCCTCTTTGGACGACCACGTGTTGGTTTAACTTCAGGAGGTCCAATTACAGCAACATGAAGATCTGAGACTTGTCTCACAAAGGGTATAATTGAGCCCGAATAACTCTCCTTAAATGTTGATCTATGGTACCATCTATCAATATAATCATACGCAACAAGCCCACAACGAAGTTCAACAAAGATAACAGCAGGAGCATGTGCGCATGGAAACCCATTGATTTGCCACAGCCTACAAGAGCAGGTCCTTTCTCCAAGATCAACAACAACATTTGGCGACGAAAAAACTTCGAACACATGCATAGACGATCTTTTGCATATCCATGAACGCCCCTTGTCAACAGCCTCATTCAATCTCTTCTCAGTCTTTTCACACAACACAGTCGTCCATCTATTGCCATCACATAGCCTTTTACACATTTGCGTCATTAACAACAACCTTATGCCATCAATCAGACTAGTTATCGGCAAGTGACGTTGCTTCTTTATTTGATGATTCCACGACTCACATCCATTAGAAGTCATCTGTCCGTATCTATGACCCTCGCAATAAACGTTGGACCACTTCTCTTTTGGAAGATCATCTAAGAAATTGCAAACTTTCGTCCCACCAGTAGTCTTCAGCTTGTCAATACATCGATCAAATTTTTCCTTAGTTGTCGCATAAGCACACACCGCAAATTGTTGCAACACCGTCTCACGAAAGCCGGCTGGAACACCCCTGAACCTGTATTTCAAATTGTTCTGCAAATGTTTGTAACAATATGTGTGCAAACAGTCAGGAAAAATGTTCCTAACACCCTCGATGATACCGTGGTTTCGATCCGAAACGAAATTGAGTGTCCTATCATTTCCAATAGCATCCCTAAAATGACTCAAAAACCAAGACCAGTTCGAATCAGTCTCCTCACTTACAATTGCAAATGCAATAGGGAACAGACCTGCACATACGAAATTAAACCAAAATCACTACAACATTTTTTAATTGTTTTATGAATCAACTGTGCAGATTACTACATAACTCAATTGTACTATCATATGACAGTTAATAAACTATGGTATAACTGTTAAGATACTATTAAACACAAATACAGTAAGATCATTACCTTCATCAGCATATTTACCCACTGCACTAAGCAACACTCCCTTTTATCTACCTTTCAAAAATGTGCCGTCCAGCATAACAACAGGACGACAAAACTTGAATCCATCCAAACACGCTGCAAATGCAAAAAAACACCGTCAGAAAATCTGCTTCTCCACCTCAACATCAAGATGAAAGATACTACCAGGATTTGTCTTCCCCGCTTCATCAAAATAAGATGGAAGGTAGGAATATGAAGAAGTCTCGTCCCCAAAGATCCTTCTTCTTCCCGCATCGGTAGCCCTCCACGCAACCCAATAGCTTATGTCAACACCAAATTTAACATTCACTTGGCTCTGAATTTCTCCTGGGGTTATAGCCGGCATTGCACGAATATCATTTTCAATCAGGTCAATGATGACAACTGAATTCAATCTTCTCTTACTAGTTGTTCCAAAAAACATTCCACATTGATGATGTTTGTTGTACGACCGAATATAACAGTCATCATTTGATTTATCCACCGATGCATGTATCCTCCACGAACATTGGCTAGCATTTTTGAAACGACACTCCGCTGTAACTCTCGTTGTCTCATTCTTAATATACGAGAATTCAAATCCCATCTCAATAGAGTATTTGATAAGCGATTTCCTGAACTCACGAACACCGCCTTAAAAAACCTGACCTACATCCTTAATCAAATATGCCCAATCCGCACTCAGCAATCTTCTGCCTTTCACCTTATCCGCCACTCCCTCTACATTGCGTTCATTAACGACCACACCTTCATCATACAACATCAATGGGAAGCCACCAACCTCTGCAGATAATACATTCGGTCCAGGCAAATCTACTGGTTTTCCATCAATGTTAACATCAATACAATCCAACGAGAGATCTGATAGCATTTCAAACATCGACATCATGTCCTCATCGTCAGCCAAGATACATTCACCAATGCCTTCCAGCCTATATGTCATGCTTATATCCCATCTATCGAGTTGTGGCCACTTTGAAATAACAAATGCAACCAATGAACCGCGAGAAAACCCATTCGAACACCTCTTTATAGCAACCAACCCATCAAACCTCAACAAAATCCGTACGAAATTCGCTACCGAAAAAACCTAAAATCATGAAACGAACTTTAAAATGCAGAATACGAAAAAATGATTAAATAGAGTGCAAATACATTTGAATGACAATAAATTAATATCATCAAAAATAAACTTAAAATGCATAATCCATACACTCAATTAAAAAAGACTACGAAATATATTTTAATGTACTACCGAGCACACTAAAATCGACTGTTGTAAACAAATAAACCAACTATCAATCGGGATCAAACTCATGAACTCGACCACACCAGACATTTATTTCGATTATTACATAAACCAACTACGACACTCATATAAAACAACTCTAGTCCGACTGCGTGAACCAACCTCTTCTAACTCTGTGAATCAACTTCCAAACAAACATCATTAGTCAAAATAACGATGTATATGTGACGACGTAATTTTGTTAAAAAACGTTCTACTTAATAGAATCAAGTATCAACACAAATCTTAAAAGTTCTAACCACCGTACACGACAACCCTGCACATACAGCGAAAATAAAAACAAAAAAAACACATTCATGCCTGCTTAACGACGGACAACAATGAACGCTCAAATCCGAACATATTTCCACGCCGGTGAAAAAATCTTCAAAGCCGAAGGAAACGATGAAACGCTGGAGAAAATCTTCAAAACCGATTGTACACGACTTGATAGGAACCGCCAATATACTCACGTAATTTTATTCCGTGATTTTAGGCAACGTATCAACAATCTCATATCACGTAGTTAAGGAAATAAATGCCGTTCAAAAATAAAATAGGGGTATTACAGGGAAATTACATAATATATTTTGCCAAGTTGGCAAATTTGGGTGTATCTCAAAAAGAGAAAACATAATTAGATCTACCTCATTAGAAAATATGAACAAGGGGTTATCCCTAATAAACCCTAATTATAATTTGGTTTCATCAAATTTCAGCAATTGATTTTAATAATACTGACGACATAAAGAAAGAATAAAAAGTTTAACGGAAAAAAATGTTAAACAAATACTCTTGACCTTTAAGAATCAAAGTCACAAGTCTCGAACTCTTACACGAAGGAAGATTAAATTAAATAGAGATGATAAGTACATCAACACATACTTAAATAAATATCTTGATTCATTTTTGTCAGAATTGTATGGTATCACTACAACGATACAACTATTGGATACACTCTTCCATAAATTTGGATGCAAGTTCTTTAGTTTCGTCTCATCTCTACATTTAGTGAAATGATCTAGACTCATGCATAAAGCATTTAGAAGTGAAAGAACACCATTAAATCCACTTCTCACTAAATTTCTAGTTTTCGGGTGAACTTAGCTTCGCATTGTAAGATCGTAACAAAATCTCATTGCGTGATTCATATACGCTGTCTCAGATTCACTATCACTTGTACATTTAATGCATTCATCAAAATGTGCTCTATCCAGTTCGCCTTTTGGTCCATCGAATTTTTATATACTGTGTGGGTATTTTATGGACATTCATTCATCTAAAAACTAAATGCGTTATTGCGAGTATACCAATAGACTCAAATAATTGACATGAAAATTTTATTCCATGTGATTGAACATCAAGCTCAACATTTTGAACTCGATTAGTTGATTATATAATTTATAGTGCATTATGTGAATTTTATAGTGAATTTTGATAAATTAATAAGTTTTTGGCAATTTGCACCCCAAATCACTTTTAGCTTAGAAAACTTACCTGCAACTTGCTGGAAACTTGGAAGATGGGCAAATTTATAATTTTCTTATTATCTATCATTTTCCCTCAATTTTTAATCACTGTTCCACCATTTTTATCTTTCATCCCTTCAATTAAAAAAATCCTAAAATCCTAAAATCTTTTTAGCCTTTTTTTTCAATGGTAAAATGGGTATAAACACTAAACAATAATAGTAAATCACTTTTTTTTTTTCTTTTGAGTATGAAATATAATTGTAACAACAAATTCTTATCGGCGATATAAACAAACAAGAAAAATTGAACAAAGATAATTGTATTGAATTAAAATAAATAAATTGCGGGTTACAATCTCTATTTTAGTCCTCTGATTCTTCTCTCTATAACAATATATAGTTGACTTGAATTTTCGGAGTCGGTTCGTTGACTTGATCTTCTCCGGATTTGATTTTGGATTTGAATATCGTTTTCCAAGGGTCTTGTGACTTGAATCTCGGATCGAACGTTGAACTTTGACTAAATTTGACTTGAAGATCTTGAAATTCTTGATGGATTTGGCCCTTCAATCTTCCAATGATCTTGAATTGAATTGATTAACGTTAATCCGAAGGTTTGGCACCGTTTGTCGGATCGAATGCTGGATTTGATGAAGAATGCCTTGAATTTTCTCAAGAACACCTCGAATTTGACGAAGAACACTTTGAATGTAGAGAGAGATCTTACCTCCTACGAATTCTTCTTCCTTGCTTCTTGAATTGTAGAGAGAATTTTTGCTCCTACGATTTCTGCTCCTTCAGTTGTGTTTGAATTGTGAAGGGAGGATCCCTATTTATAGTGGTAGAAAAAGAGTCCTTTATGGGCCTTACTGATGATGTGGCGCGATTTGATTGGCCCGATTTAAATTGATACTTATCTCTTGTAACTTGCAAGAGAAGAAATAATTTTATTGGCCAATAATTAATTGATCTTTATCTCTTATAACTTGGGAGAAAAGAAATAATCCTATTGGTCAATATATATTTAAAAATCAATTATCTATTTAAATTAGGAATTTATTTCACAAAATTCCTAATATTAAAATAGAAAACTTATAATTTACCCTAACTATATATATATATATATATATATATATATATATATATATA